AAAAAGCTTTTCCACTTACAATGAACCTTAGCCATGATTACACAAAAATAAATTGAAATTTTCCTAAGTTATTGAAAACAAGAGAAACAGGTTACATCAGAGGCGGCACTAGGTGGGAGCGAACGGCTGGTGAGAAACCTGCGGCTCCACTACATGCGCGAGAAAGAATACACATTTAATAAACGTGTAAATAATATTAGTAATTGCAGCGGCGTATCACCCAGGGGTGAATATTGAATCAGTCAAGGAAAATAACAAGGGCCGTCCCTGCGCGGGTCCTAGAATCAGGAAATGCATGACCAACTGCCTTCTGTTGGTGAAGATGGCAATGAGAAAGGGAAAAAATAAATTTCGAAAAGAAGTAGTAAAAATAATAATTAACAAATCAAACACATTCTAGTTGGAAGTTATTACTTTAATAAAAAATGTGTGTTAATAGTTTTTTAGAACCTTTAATTTTGTGCAAAATAATTTTTTAAACAATATTGTTAATATTGTTTCAAGGAAAATATGAGGCACAAAATAATTTAATTACACAATAGAGAAAAATATTTAACATTAAAAGTTAAGCAACTAGTGCACTGTAGAGTCTCTAAAATATTGTTATACTAGATATAGCCCACGAAATATTTGCGGCAGCAATGCGTGACCTTCCCATCTACTAAAGTTACTTGATAAAACATGAACTCAAGTAACGCACATTTAAGAATCCCAATTTTTGCTACACCTCTTCCCCCGTGATACGACACTGCACAATATTCTGATGTCCCTATCACTTTTAAGCCAATTTTTACACCATTTTTACTAAATTAAGACGATTTCATTTTCGAAAAGAGAATATTACGCGCCAAACGCAGTTGCGTTATATTATTTATTTATTTAGGCATTTTTTATATAGCGCTTACCTTAAAGCTCTAAGCCCTTTACAATTATTAAAAACATGTAAACTAAGTAAAATAAAAATGAGACACTAGGATAGTAACTACTATACTATAGAAACAATTAAAATGGCTATAAAACGAGGGCAATTTCGCACGTTTTGGCCTATACTACAGGAACAGAAAATGAGGCAGGGCGAGGAGAGTGCATCACAGGTCATAGGCGGACCTAAACAGATGGGTTTTAAGGGACTTTTTGAAAATGGACGAGGTTTCACAATGACGGATATGGAAGGGGAGCTGGTTCCAGAACGTGGGCCCATAGAAGTAGAAGGAGCGTTCACTGATGGTCTTAGTTTTGGTTCTTGGGATTGAGAGGGTTCTATTATCAATGGAAGAGCGTAGTTGTCTTGTGGGGATGTAAGGAAGCAATAGTTCAGAGAGATAGACAGGAAAGTGAGGGTCAGTGAACGAGTTGAAGCATTGATTGGCAGACTTACAAAAATATATTATTTAGCGTAGTTATCGGGAAGTATATTTTGCGCGGTATTGAACTTATCATTGAATTATACTTTCTTTCAAGCATTTAGATCTATTTGTAATCTACTCTCAATACCAAATTCGCTGATTAGGAAGGAGCCGGAAATGGAAGCAGTAAATTAGGAAGAAGTCCACGCAAGAGTCAGGGCAGAAGCGTCATATTTATAAGAGCTAACACCGTATACAAATAACTATTGTCTGAATTGTGCCATACGATCTATATTCATGTATAGAACGGTTTATTAAAAATTTCAAAGGTTAATTGCTATAAAGTCAAGTCATTTTTTTTAAAAACCAAAGAAACCTATGTAAAAAATCCTAAATTATTTTAATTTTTTTTAAATTAGTCCCCCCCCCAACCAAAAAACAAAAAAAAACAAAAGAAAACAACAACAAACAAACAAACAAACAAACACAACTACTTTTATTTATTAAAAACATCTCTGTTTTATTTTATGTTATTTTTTTCTTTTTTGGTTCTTCCTTTTCATTTACTATAATTGTAAATACATTATGATAAATGAATCGCTCTAAGGTACAAATATAGTAACAACGTGAGACTTCGGATATTATATTCAACATGACTTTGAGGATTATGCGTGGAGATCAAGCTCAAAATAAAGAATTCCCACCTTAAAACTATTTTTATTCAACGGCATCATTATTATTTACACAATGAGTAGATCAAGAATTATGAGTATCAAGGGACAATTTCACTCATGAATCATATTAAAAAAAAATAAGGAAAACATACTTTCAAAATATACTCAATATTATTTTTTCAATACAAATTGTGTTATCAAACTAAACACAATGAGAACATCAACAGTTCCTTTTTTTCGCTTGAAGGAAACATTTATATTTTAGTGATAAGCATCCATTCTAGAAGTTCTCATAAATTTTAGCTTTTCTTAGAAATTCGAGGTATCCTCAGAAATTGTATAGGTGTTCGGAGAAATTCTAAATGTTCTGAGAAATTCTAGATGTTCTTAGAAATTCTAGGTGTTCTCAGAAATTTAAGATGTTCCTAGAAAATTTAATTAAATGTAAAAGAAATTCGAAATGTTTCTATTATTGACTTTGGCTTCAGTTATTTTTCCAAATAACGGGTAGGTAATATAAAACATATTTTTAAAAAGTGGGGGAAAGTTTAAATTATAATTATATCTTGATCAATTAGGGCTGTTACGACAAATTGTTTAGGAAAAGTGCGCCGAGCATTAAAAAAGTTTTGAAGTCTGTGATGATCGGTATATTGCGGATGTGCAGTGGAAGAGAATTCCATTGTTTGGGGGCACATAAAGAGAAAGATCGTTTACCGTATGTTTTTGTACGAGTCTTGGCGACAGAAAAAATACGCGCCCTCTAGAATAAGTTTGGTTAAATAAATGTTCTCTAAGGTTTCAAATAGATTGTATTTTATAATAATAATAATAATTATAAGTGGTCTTATATAGCGCGGTACCCCAGCCTAGGACTGGGCTAACCGCGCTATACATAAAAATATTAGCAAAGAGACATAATCATAATATTAAAATAAAATGCATAAATGAAATAAAAACAGCATGTAAGCAAAACAAAAACAATGTTCTGAAAAGTTTTAAAATAGATTGTATGTTATGTAATTGTTGTGGAAGGTTTTAAAATAGATTGTATGTTATGTAATTGTTCTGGAAGGTTTTAAAATAGATTGTATGTTATGTAATTGTTCTGGAAGGTTTTAAAATAGATTCTATGTTATGTAATTGTTCTGGAAGGTTTTAAAATGGATTATATGTTATGTAATTGTTCTGGAAGGTTTTAAAATAGATTGTATGTTATGTAATTGTTCTGGAAGGTTTTAAAATAGATTGTATGTTATGTAATTGTTCTGGAAGGTTTTAAAATAGATTGTATGTTATGTAATTGTTCTGGAAGGTTTTAAAATAGATTGTATGTTATGTAATTGTTCTGGAAGGTTTTAAAATAGATTGTATGTTATGTAACAGTTTTGTCAATTTTTTCATAGATTCAAATTTTGATTTCACCAATAAAAAACCAAAGACATAATCCAGTACTTCTGTTGTCGTAAAATAATTAGTCATTTCTAATCAAACATTAAATGTTATTCAAATTTTGCAAATAATGTAATTTAAGAAGAGGAAAAATGCATACTCCTTTTTTAATTTATATCGCAAGATCCAAAAAAATTCACTCATTGTTTGCCATTCTCTGTTAATCAAGTTTAGTGAGATAGTTCTTGGCTAATTTTACAGGAAGGAAATTAGAACAAGCGCCATTTCTACCCAAATAATATAAATAATATGGAAAGTTTGACACTTCCAAAAGTCTATCTTCAGGGTGGTTATTAGGATTATCTCCAAATAAAAGGAGCTCATCCTTGTAAAGCACAGCGCCATATAAAACTTTATCGGCTGTCCATAGTTTTCCAATAAAACTAAAGGACACAAGTTTATCTTTGGTATTTAACAGGCTCCACACATTCCCATTTCTTTGTATTATGTAGTTGTTATCACCATCTTGAAAACTGATCAAATATTTGGCTGGCCCATCAAGATTTTCAAGTTTTGTCCACATTTTAGAAATTAAATTCAAACAATGAACCGATGTTTCTTCAGCACCTTCAACAGTCTCTGCATAAAATAATAGCACTTGACTGTCAGATAGCAGGGCATATTCAAAGGTCCCAATATCAGGAAGAGCAGCAAAGTTCTCTTCAATTTTATAACTATCTTTTGGATTTATTAACGAAATTATTTTGCTATCGGGATTTAACACCAAGATTGTATTCTCATATGAAAGAAGAAATAAACGAGGCCCTGTTAACTCGGAGATTTTATTCCATACATTTCCTCTGAATAGAAACAGCTTGCTATTGGCATCGCTTAGATAAGTACGTCCACATGCATACAATTCATCGTCAAAAACGATCAAGTGGACTGACAAAACACATTCAGGGCAGCTTTTTAATTCAAATTTCCCTTCAGTGAGCGAGTGAACCCTGCACATTCCTTTGCCATGACAGTAAACTCCAAAATTTCCAAATTCACTGCACCCCCTGTGTAAGGCAGCTTTTGACCAATGCCCATTTCTATATTTCTCAGTGTGATAAAGGACTGCATTATAAATGATGTCTTTGGCTTCGTGGTTCCCGTTAATCAAATGATGTCTGTAGAAACTATCAAGAAATGTGGCACTGGCCAGACAGGTTCTCGCCGCTTTTAAGAGGTGTGTTAACTTAGACAGCCTTTCTTCAAAACCTGTGTCGATGTTTTTTTCTAGACATTCAAGAGGGATTTCTGTCGTTGTGTCTTCCAGAACTTGAGCTGTAGGGGGATCTGTTTTACTGTTAGTTTTGTCTGTCGATATCTCTTGATTACAACCATATGGTGGGTGGTCTTCGGCTTGACAAAGCTGAGGCTGATTAAGTCCTTTGTCGACAGCTGGGATTGAGTTTTCAATCTCACTTGTACAAGAATCATTAAAGAGATGAGATGTTAATTCACCGTTGAAAAACGTGCTATTTTCAACAGCTGCTTGGGCTTTGACATCAGTCTTTTTTCGAAAATCTCCAGTAGTATTTCTTAAATTATTTTGATTTTCTTTCACTTCCAAAATTCCAATGTCAGGATATTCTATCCATTCCATAATGGTTTCCAAGACTTGGTCTTCAGATTCTACCACAAGCTTGTGATCACTTACCAAAGACAAAAGTTCATCATACGAAAGTTCAAGCAATGTGTTCATCTTTCGTATCTGCACGAAATTTTCCAACATAAATTTTCTGATGGCCTCTAACACTTGACTAGAATTAATGAGCTTAGCGTTTCTGTAGACTTCTTCAAAATTGTCTAATAACAACATCTTGACTATCATCTTTTCACTTAACGCAATCATGAAGTCAATCTGTAACTGATTAGAGGCATGCCAGATGGCAATGGCATTATCTTCAGTTATGACGTCATGGCCAGTGTACAGGGTCTCTAGTATTAGCTTAAATGTTTCACAAGAAATACCCTGCAAAGAAGCACGGCCATTCGTCACTTCGTTCATACTTCGGAAAAGTCCACTGAAAAATCCAGAGCATGATGCAAGAATGAAGCGATGACACTTGATTTCTGTATTTTCTATTTCAATGACAAAATCTCCTTCAAGTTCATGTCGTGAATGGAGTTTTTTAATGGATTTCATCACCCCGAGAGCGATATCAGTGTTTACGGTCGTCATGGTGATGCTTTGATTACCACTAAAGTGAATAAAAAGAAGAAAGAAAACGAATGAAGGTTAATATTTGGATACAATGTAAAGTGACAACATAGTAACTACAATGTTTTCACATAATTTAATCATGAAATCAATCTGTAACCGGCTTGAGGCATGCCATATAGATATGACATTATCTTCAGTTATAACGTCACTTCCAGTGTACAGGGCTTCTAATATCAGTTTTAAAGTTTCACAAGAAATATCCAGTAAAGTGGCGCGGCCATTCATTACTTCCTTCATACCTGACCGGAAAAGTCCACAGAAAAATCCAGAGCATGACGCAAGAATGAAGAGATGACACTTGATTTCTGTATTATCTATTTCAATGACAAAATCTTCTTCAAGTTCATGGTGTAAATAGAGTTTCTTAATCGATGTCACTATCCCTAGTGCGACATCAGTACTGATGGACATTGAGAAAAAATATGATGAAAATAAATATTTAATCTGAAAAATAATCTCTAAACAATAAGAATTATGCTTTCTTAAAGACGAGATCCATAAAATTGATGTAGAAACGTCCTTATGTACGTGGCCCTCTTTTTATGTTTTACATTTGATTTACACACACACATATATATATACGAGTGTGTTTGTAGATTTATTAGCATCATTTATTTATCATGAATTCAGTCAAATTCTAATATAATGTATTGAAACGATAAGAGCCAGACTATATTTTAGAACCTTTTTCTATGTCCCCGTGTCCCACTCCGATTTCTACTATCATCTATTGTTCTCATTATGAGTGAAGTGAAATAAAGTTATCATTTATTGAATGTACAAAATGTACTCATTATCAAATGAAGAAATACTCACTTAATAACCGAAAACGCCATTGGTACACAGTTAAAAATTCGTGTCGCTGACTTTCTAGCTGGTGGCATAGACACTCTCTGACTTGTGTCTATTGATTTTGACCCGAAACTGAAACTGAAACTGAAGGATCCATGTTTCCTAGAAGTATATCTCAAGCTCAAGATAGGACTGTTAATGGAAGAACTTTTTAAATGTCAAAGTGCTCAATGTGCACTCAACCATGTCAACACACAATCTCCTACAAACGTCTTCTGTCAGTGCACTTGACGCATAGTCGTTTGTCATAAAACTTTATGGGCGAACTCATAATTTACTTTTACTTTCATACCGTACTATGTAAAACATTTGTCTTATAATTCTGTTTCGCGAAATATGTAATTTAACAAAAAAATACCAAAAAAACAACAAAAAAACATAACATGATCATGTGCTGCTGTTCGTACACTGATGTTGTTACATCTGATGTTGGTACAATTGATGTAGCACATGGCATTGGTACACCTGCTGTTGTACAATTGATGTTGCATATGACATTGGTATACGTGATGTTTGTACACCTGCAGTTGGTACACCTGCTTTTGGTAACCTGATGTTGGTACAATTGATGTTGCATATAACATTGGTAAACCTGCCTTTGGTACACCTGCTGTTGGTACACCTGCCTTTGGCACACCTGATGTTGGTACAATCCAATTTGTTAAATCAATGGTGTTACGCACAGATTTGTATTGGGAGAAATTAATCTCCTATGTTAAATTTATGGCTCGTTCAAACTGTGCCTATCAAAGGACGATACCATCGAAAATAAAATAGCAAATGTATGACACCCAAAACAGTAACAATTACAATTAATAACATTTAATTTAATAATAATACAATTACAAAACAAAAGTAAATATCATTACAAATTATCAACTTACAGAGTATGGTAGAACTGGTAACCGATACACAATTAGTACAATGTGCCAATTAATAATGATAAATGAAGAATGCAAATAAACACATAAGTACACAAAGAATAATACACGTCTCATGTAGTTATATATATATATCTGAGTCTTTCTGACCCTTTGTGCCTGTCAATCATGTATATATGTGGGTCTACCGACGCGTCTAGAAACGCCTTTACTTTTCTAGAACAATCGAGATCATTCTACCAAATATTAGGAGACAGTCTAACTATGTCCAATTGGAGGTCGGTAGTAAACAAGATACTTCAAAGAGAATTTAAAGCACGTCCACACAAATGCTACCGCCTGCAAGGGGTCTAATTTAGGCCAATCAAAATTCACGCACGAGGAATGTGTGTTACATAACAATGGCAAAATGCGCGATTTGCAGATTTTGCAATAGTGGACATACACATTCACTGTATTTGCCACTAATAATAAGCTGACACGGCCTGAACACAGCCAACCAATAACGTTTCTCTATTGACAGATTGTACAAATTTAGGTGTAAATAAGCAAGTAATCAAGTTATTTTACAATGCAACGATTGGAAGCCAATTAAACTTCAATATCACCTACTGAAGCAAAATTGAACGGCTCACATCAAACACATATTTAATAGTCTAATCAAAACAGCTAGCACTATCACACAGCATTCACTTGAACTATTTGAAAAAAAAAATTGCTGTTGTAAAACTAAAAAAAAATTGTATTATACATCCCACATACTTCATCAGAGATACCTAAGATCACATCCCATCCACTTCATCACAGATACCTAAGATCATATTCACCCACTTCATCACAGATACCTAAGATCACATCCCACCCACTTCATCACAGATACCTAAGATCCGCTCGATCAGGATGAATTCTTTCTCTTAAAGTTAGGAAAAATGATATAAAAAATCATTTTTTTCCCTGTTCGTAAGAATTTACACTCGTGTTCATCCATCTGTTAATACCTATAAATGATCACTAATTAAGTCATTATTGTTTCTAAAGGAGTTCATTGATGGCTGATTTATACCCTAGAGAAAAGCTTTAGATGTCTTGTGTTTTAATTGCTAAACGTGAAAAAATGTTGCCTTTGTTTAAATAGATCTATGTATTTATTTATTCATGTGCTAAAAATGAATAGGTACAATGTAATGAAAATAAAATTTTCATTTATGTGGATCAACAAAGAATCTTATTACCTCTTATTAGCTCTTATTTTAATTTCTCTACCTACAATTATCGTTAAATCAGATCCTTAGCTTTGCATGCAACTAACCAAAAAAGGTCATCAAAAAGGTGTGTTGTCATCTAAAACGTGCATGTCGTCATCACAAATGCCTGTGTTGTCGTCACAAAAGTGTGTGTTGTCATCATAATGGTGCATGTTGTCATATCAATAATGAGTTTCATAATCACAACAGTTTGTGTTGTCATAACAATAGTGAGTTTCATAATCACAACAGTTTGTGTTGTCATAACAATAGTGAGTTTCATAATCACAACAGTTTGTGTTGTCATATCAATAGTGAGTTTCATAATCACAACAGTTTGTGTTGTCATATCAATAGTGAGTTTCATAATCACAACAGTTTGTGTTGTCATATCAATAGTGAGTTTCATAATCACAACAATTTGTGTTGTCATATCAATAGTGAGTTTCATAATCACAACAGTTTGTGTTGTCATAACAATGCGTTGCGTTATCATTTTAAAATGTGTGGTGTCATCGTAAACTTTTGTTATCACAAAGATGTGTGTTATCACAAAAGTGTGTGGTATAACACACACCCAAACGCAGTTGCCTCAGTACTTTTGTTTGACTCAGTGTGAATGTTTTCCGCAGACAAAAGAAACATCTGTTTCTATGACCTGGGAATCGAAATTTTAGAAACATACAAACCCCCAGGATCCAAGGACCACCTCTTTCTCTTTTTCGTAGAGCCCTTCATTCGGCTCCGGACAATGGTCGTATCACTCCCAACATTTATCAATTTAGTTTTTACTCTTGGCTTTAGTGGTGCTTATAATCAAATCAAGAGAGTGTTGTCGTTTTAGTGTGGAGAGGAAGGGCAGGCTAACTGGGGGCAGGAAAAACTTAGAATTAATACCATGGTACCTTTAGAAGATCCTGTCAGGATTTAACAATCAATGACTTTTCACATCATTTGCCAGACGGCTATTCTGGTGACAGTGTAAACAGAGCGTGCTGAGTAAAGTCTTCGTAACAACGTAATTACCGCGCCAACTTTTAAGTTAAGTCTACGAGGAGTCATACCTTAAGATGTTACGATGTTCAAAAATTCCATTGGATAGTTTTCTGCATCCTCAGCATTTGCCCTGTCTGATTAAATATAATCTATGCAGGGATAGGATTTCAAATCAGATTGAATTTATCTAGTGATATTTTCATTAAATTCGAGTGACTCACTTTTTCTGGAGTCATGATTACGCAGTAGGCGATGCTGTCATTTTTTATTCGATCGCTTTAGGAAAGACATAATCATCAATAATTCCATTTTCAATGAAGAATATAGGAATGATGCCTTCCTCTAATCCAGTCTCTTGGAATTTTCCATTCCCAAGTGTTAAAAGCCAGTAGGAAAGGCCCCGGTGTTCTGTTGGGACATGGATTCCAATGGCACGCATGCTATGTTTTGGTCTAACATTAGCACCTGAATATTTTTTCTATATAAGAACTTACAATGCGTCATGCATAAAGAAAGCATTTTGGTTCCGCTTACTCGTGCAACAACAGGAAACAATTTGTCTAAAATCTTCACTGAAATATAAAAAGCTGCACCTCCAAAGGGTTTTTATGAGAAATATTTGTATCTTCATCAAAGAGACCTTTATACAGTGTGTGAAATGCATTAATTCCTTATGCTGGGCCCATCAATGAACCATTCCAGATTATTATTTTGACCTTCTTCTTCTTCTATATATTAAGGGCACACGATCAATTTATTGATCATTTTAGCTCCTATGCACGTAGAGGGGATTTGCAATGTTTCTGTGCCTGGTATTTACGAGGATATTTCACCGATTACAAGTGCCACATTGTGAGGGAATCATGCACTGGGGGTTTGACGGCTTGAAGCAATATAACTTTTC